GCTGAGATGAAATATCCACAATGGAAAGCACCATTCTCTGGCTGTGATCCTGCACTGTATAAGTAGGAGAAAAGAAGTTGCTTTTCTCTGAGTATTTCATCACAGCAACAATAAAGGAACCAGAAGTACTTATCATTTCACCACAAGAATGGCTTTTGTTGGGAATATCTGTTATCCCAGATTCAATATGATCAGTTCTGGCACAGAGCTAAGCAGGAAGTGATTAGGTCTAAGTTCCACAAAAGTTCTTGTTCTTCTGACATGGCCACTCAGCTAGCGTTTGCCTTTCTTTTCTCTCGTTTTCCTTTTTCTGTCGGAAATGGAATTATCTACCAGAGAACATGGAATAGCCGCCCTATGAGTATAAGACTGACAGCAAAACATGGAAGAACAGAAACACAGAAGAAAGCGGGTTTCATTCTGACGTATTGGTATCGACTTGCTCACCTATGAATATTCTGAATCAGAAAAGTAAACTGCTATGCAGTTAAGCCATTGTTTTTATAACATGTACTCAGATGCATTCCTCACCAATAAAGAACTTTTCAAAACTAGAAGGAAAGCACAGTTTGCAGACAGAGCCATTTTCCTCAATCTGGCACCCCCGAGTTCACACACAGCTCTATGCAGTATTCCCTCACTGTGTGGGTACCAACCACTCTATGCCACTGCCGTACATGGCTCACACAGAGCTGCATCCACAACTGGAGATGTGAGCTTCAGCAGTCATACTGCTACTGGGACTTGGCCACCTGCTGCTTGCTAGCTAAATATTACCTGCGGTTGATTTTATTCTTTCTCAATTATTTTTTATTTTTCATTTCTTTTTCAGATTGTGGGCAGGGATGTTTTAAAAGATAGACAAAAAGGAAACGTAACAGGGAATAATATGCTGTGGTGATCCAATGAGTCTATGAAACTTAAAGCATTGGCTATTGAGGTCTACAACTAAAAATTTCTCATACCTCTATAGAAGAAGACATTAGGAACGTTAAAGTACAAATAGTCACAATTCTACAGGTTGTAAATTTTATATCCCAAAGGCTGTTTTTATTCTTCTTCGTTCAGTAAAGTATCATTATATACAAAACATGCTCTCTAAACAAAGATGTCTCTAAGCAGTATTCTGAGGGAGTGTTATAAAGCAGTAAGAATGTAGGAAGGTTAATACCTTCCTGACTGAAAGAGGAAGAAGCAAGTTTGAGTATAATAGCATCAGATTCCCAGAAAGCATCACACCAGCTGGAGTTAATTGTTGGAAAAGAAGAATCACTAAGCATTCAACAGAATTCAACAGAATAATCCTAAGGGAATTAAGTTTTGAATACTTCAGAAGAAAGTGTCTTTTAAGAGCACTTCTTTACCACAGATGGTACCAAGCCTGAATTTCACAAGGAAACTTTGCTAGGTTTTGTTTTCATTTTGGTTACATACTACACCATCTAACAATACTGAGTTGGAAGTGATGAATATAAAGATGGGGAGTTTCCTGATTCTCTATTCTCTTTGCCTCATGGGACCTAAAGATGGTGCTAATCATTTAGATACTGGAAAACACATTTAAATGGTGTGCTGAAATAAGAACTTTATCTCTCTAAGCACTATTTCTCATACTTAATAATAAAATTATAAATCACTAAAATTTCTAATTTCATATCTCATATAATTCCTCCCAGTACGCAGACCACCGAATAGCAAACTGAACTCACACATTTTCTCTGTCTGTTGCTGGTGGTTAAATTTAATTCCAGCCAGATGGATACAAGAAAATATTTCCAAAGAAACAAAGAGGAAAGCATGGTTCGTTTAACTTTCGGTCTCCTTTGTGTGTTAATTTCATTTCCTAGTTGGGATTTTTTGCTTTTATGTATATGCTCTTCTTCAAAAGAATGTCATTAGAGTTTCCAGGTCATTCTCTTCCTTATCCTCAACAATATCTAGTCCCTATTGGAATTTTGTCACTTCAGAGCTCTTGTGAAGCCATAATAAATTTTATGTTGAATTGTTCTTCTCATTTTCAAGGCTAAGTAGATTTAAGAATAAATACACTGCATCGTCTATTTTCATCTTAAATTTTGTAGCTACATGTTTTGTCATAGAATCAAAGATAATAACATTTGTATTCATACACTGAGCTTTTGCTCACTTCCTAAGAATCAATCTTCAAGTCTATACATTTCAAGTATTTATTATACACATTGAATTTATACATTCATGTAGTTCTAAAATTGTGCTATTATTTTATGGAAATCAGGGACAATTGCACATGAGTATCACAAAACACAGTATAAGGCACTCACCGTGGAAATTGTGGTGATCTGGACTGAGAAATCAGAATTGGAAATTTTTGAATTTTTGCATTTTTCCTTTCTATGATTGTCTATATCTTAATTGCTAATGACTGGCATCACTAACCTGGAATAGGTTAACTGTAAATTTAAGTATATTTCCAAGATTAAATAATTAGGTAGAATATCAGTTTTTCTGTCTTCATTAGGTTACTACTCAGGCAAAACAGGATCTGGAGTATAAACAACGTCCGTTCTGATGCTGCCACTGACTGGCACAGCATTGTTCTCTGTCCTTTACCAGCACAAAGGGCACTCTTCCATAGTAACTGTGCAGCCATCTGTCTGGGTTTTGCTCTGTGCCACACAGCTCCAGAGTATCTCCCTTTGCATTTGTACCTCCTGTATAGGGGTTTCAAGAGTTTTTTCTCAGCTTGCCTTTGTCCCATCACAGAGGAGATATAGGCAGAACACAAGACCAAACACTACTACCAAAATTGAACACCATACTTTTTATTCTGATTTCATCCTGGCAGCACTTCCTTACAGTGAAAGAGCCTAAATGGCACTTGAGCAGGGGAGCACTAGCTTCGAATGATTCTTTTGCTAGATCATGGCCCCATTATTGATACAATCCACAGGCAAAGCATTTATTACTGCTCTCTTTCCACATCACTTTAACATCAGCACCAACATGCACAACATTGAGGTATTTCTCCCTTTGTGTACAATTTTATTAAGACATGACTCATATGTCACATAATCAATTCATTTTAAATATGCAATTGAAAGATTGTAAATACATTCAGAACTATTCCACTATCATCATTATCTAATTTTAAACTGCTCTCATCATGCCTCTAAAAAACTGCATACACGTTAGCAGTCATTCCTCACTTCCTTCCCAACCACTGCTCTACACTCTTGCAGTATAGGTTTGCTTCTATGGGGCTTTTGATGCGGATGGCATTATAAAATGCATGCTTCTTTTGACTAGTCTCTTTGCCTCAGCATAATATTTTTAGCATTCTATGCTATAGCATGTATGGGTACTTTATTCCTTCTTATTGCTAATAATATCTTAAGATGATTTCCAAAATGTATTTACACATATGACATTTTTTTCTTAATTTTATTTTCTTATTTTAAAACTACCATGCACAGAACCTGGATGATTTTTAGTAGTGAATGTGAGATTAGTGAAAGTGAAAAATGTGTTAAATAACTACAGTCTTTTGCCATGGAAGGCTGATTTAAAGTAAAATCAAGCAATTAATACAGTCAAGTTCATCCATGTTGAAAAACTTTATCAGGACTACCAAACATGAAAAATATTAATAAGAATTGCTTCTGTTTTCTAATACAAGGTTTTAATAAAGACGCATTCGTCCTCTCTACAAAATTAGTAATCAAGTATATAAAATATAAAACCAACACATGTTATGTTCACAATATCAAACAACAAGAATAATTGATTTTTCTTCTCTTTGATGCTACAGAATTATTTGGTGGCCTTGGAGAAAATATTGATATGCAAGCAGTTCTTGTCATATGACATGCACAGATGGATGGTACAATAGCAATGCCAGTATAAAAATTAGTAGACAGTTTCAACTCCAAAGAATAATTGAACATTAATAACAACCGTGGGACATTTAACTGTGGCCACATTGTTATTTACAGTTTTATTATAGCAGTACTTCCACTGAGGACAAGCCTTCAGCATCACAATGTTACAACCAGGATTACAAGGTACACACAATGGGGCTGGAGAGATGACTCAGCAGTTAAGAGCACTGCCTGCTCTTGCAGAGAACATGGGTTCAGTTCCCAGCACCCACATAGTGGCTAACAACCATCCATAGCGCCAGTTCTAGGTGATCTGACACACTTTTGTGACCTCTGGGGGCACTGCATAATATGGGTGCACTTACATACATGCAGGCAATACTCTCATATGCATAAAATAAGAATAATAAATTTTTTTAAAAAAAATAGCACCCACACGTAGCAGGCCATCTGAATCTCCTATTATAAAGGCTAAGTTCCTAACTGTATAGACTGATAAGTTTCTGTCATCAAGGTTTTAAACAAGTATTTAATAATTTGTTCAGGATACAGAAACTTAGCAGAATTAGTGTGAATGTTAAAGTTTGATTTTTCTGGCAGGGCATGGTGGTACACGCCTTTAATCCCAGCTATCAGAAGGTAGAGGCAAGCATATCTCTGAGTTTGAGGGCAGCCTGGTCTACATATCAAGGAGTTCCAGGCAGGCTAGGGCTACAGGGAGAACCTGTCCCCCAAAGACCAAGTAGTTTGATTTCCTTAAGATTCTCTCTGTATGCGTTTCCATTTCACAATATGTGAGACTGTGAGACAGACTGGAGGAAGACCCTTTTATTACTATGTTTTATTTCTTTTTCTCTTCAAGTCAGGTTTTTCACTATTATTATAATCACACTGAAAGTATTAACCTTGCATTTTCTTCATTTCATAAATTACTTCACACTATAAAACTGTGGTCCACTCACTTACATTCTCATTCTAAAAGAAATAGAAACAAAAGGCTTCACGTATCTTATTTGAGAAAAGTAAACAAAAAAGCAAAAACAAAGTCACTGAACCAACTAGAACAGCAGTCATCCATGAAAGCAACTGACATTTCGTTTCACATGGACGTGAATACAAAGGCAGGAGAGTCTTTGTACTCACAGGTGTCTACAGCCTCGTCCGAATCGTCGGGGCAGTCCGGGTCCCCATCACACAGCCAGTTCTGGGAGATACAAGTCACATGATCGTGGCAAAGAAATTCACCAGGACCACACAGCTGCTGATCTGAAAATTAAAATGTTTCTAAATCAAATATGAATGTTCTGAACATGAACACAAAAGCATATAAAATGAAACATGAGGACACATAGTGCAACGGCAGCTAAGGCCTGGGATCCACCTTTTCTATTCTGCAGCAAAGCTAAACCAATTCTTAATTTTAGCTGTTCATCCTGAGCAGACAACTTGACAGACTTGACTCCATTGTTGGCTCCCACAATCTGTTCTGAAAATGGTTAAGAATCCTGTGTGTGTTTATGACTGCAGGCTTTATCATACCAAATAGGCCACATGTATATACATATATGTATGTATATGTTCCAGCCAGTGAGCTTTATAGACCATGTTGAATCAAAGCATAATCTATTTTGAGCATGGAAATTTTAGTTTCTTCATTACCCAAGGGGGTAAAAACTGAGTAGCAAGTTCTAAATATTGTAATGAAACTTTCTTTCTTGACTCTATACCAGGCATCATGACTTCAGGAATTGCATCTGTATCGTAGAACTGCCAAATTCCTTCTCAACCTGATTACCAGTGGGGCTGCTTCCTCTACTAGAAGTAAAAAGGTTTCTGGAGTTGTTTTTATGTACAAATTTGTAATTTTCCTTTTGATAGTTTAGAATATTCGGGATTTTCAGTCTCTACTCAAGTTCTAGTGAACTCATTGTATATTGGGTTTTTACAATATATTTACTCCTAACATGATTACATTTGAAAAAAATACAGAAAATATTTTCATGTGCATGAATTAGTAATATTTACTACAATTGACTGCCCCTGGATGTGAGAGTATTAAAAGAAATTCTATTTCATTTTGATTTGTACTTTTGTGTCTTAGCAACATTCAAAACACTGATCCATCTTATATTCAGTGTTATCTTGCCGAATAAATATGTTGTGTTTACCTCTTTCCCAGGCTCTACGTTCTCCTCTCTTCAACAGTATAACTTTTAGTAAATGTATTACAAACAGGTGTAAACACACATTCTTAATGTACGGATGTAGGTAAAATATTATCATTTTCCACTCTCAAAATACAAAGAGCTCCTGAGAGCTTATCATATTTTATTTTCCATAAATTCGACATCAGGGACACATATATCACCACCATCTTAAGTTTTTCAGATGAACTTGCTTGACCAAATCATATTTGGCCCTAAGTTTCATGCTACAGAATCAAAGATGTAAAAGCCATTCCTTTTCTTCAAGAGTCCGATGGGGTACTTGTGTACAGTATTTCTTAAAAATTGCTGAAAGAGGAGACCATGGAAGGATACATGAAGGCAAATAAAACCAATTTGGGAACTGGTTATATATAGTTCAGGAGTAGAATAGAAAGCTAAGATCTGCAAATCTATGTTTTTATTCCCAGCATCACACAGATAGACAGACAGACAGACAGACAGACAGACACACACACACACACACACACACACACACATAAGTGTAGGAATATGCAAGTATGTCTTTAAACGATGGTAAGTTTTGGATCAACAGACTATACATATTCCAATCAGAGTGAGAGTGAATAAAAATTGAAAGTCTATTCAATTTATAACTTGAATTTTCTTCACTCAAGAGTGGTGTATGACACTTCTTTTCAAATGTTTATTTTTTTACTTCCTAAGGTGTATGAGTATATTGCCCGCATATAGATAGGTGCACTTGTGTCGTGCGATGCCCATGGAGAGTAGAAGAGAGAGTTGGATACCCAGGAACTGGTATTACGGATGGTTTTTAATCACCATCTGTGTGTTGGAAATCAAACCTTGGTCCTCTGCATTAGCAGCCAGTGCTCTTAACTGCTGATCCATCTCTCCAGCCCCTGTGTATGGTACTTCTAGGTATGACTGGGAGGAGGAATTCAAGGTTTAAATTTTTGCTTTAGGTAGTTACACAGCTTTTAGAGTTTGTTTCATATGATTTTGGGGGATGAAATTCAAAACAATTTGCTTATAAATCATAAAATATGATTTACCACAAAATTATTTAAATAACCATAAAAACTTAATATCCAAAATAAAGGAAGCCTCACCAATATTACACTGAGCCAAAGTTACTATTCCTTAAAATCTTATTGCATAAATTCCAACATGGATGGTCAGAGAACTGTAGCTATTCTATATTTAATCTATGACCTTCAGATGACAGATTTTTAGCTGTTATAAGGAGAAAACTGAAAAACAGTTCCCACGTACATGTTGTAGAGTGTATGACTCAGTAAGTGATAAATAAGTGTTAAAAGTATGGAGAAGAAGGGAGAATCATGAGGAACAATTTGTGGCGTGGGAATAGAGCACCTCAGAAACTCGTAGGTCAAGGCCATCCTGGTTGCCATGGAAAACATTCTAACCTCATGGAAAGCACTGAACAAAGAGCAGTCATAGACATGTCATAGTGTTCTGGGAAGAGACTCATGAAATTGTCTAAAGAGATCAGAATGATTCAGTCAAAGTGGTGGGACATAGATGAAGATTCTACTGTAAATCATACAACATGAGAGTTAAGAATTGCTGACTCAATATTTTGTCTCTTAAAAAGGACTCCAAGTACATAACCTCAGACACTGATTAGATGTTATTTTAAAACTAGTATCAGTCATATAAATATGAAATATGATATAAATATGAAAATAAAAGTGCATAAATATGACTGTAAGCCTGCCTTTCATAATGTCTAGAATAAAACAAATATTTGCCTCAAAAATTTCTGTATTCATACTTTAATTTATTTTAAGTATTAGGAAAATGTAAATAAAAGATCACAATAGCTAAAAATCAGAATTATCTATCATCATGTAGTTTATCTTATGTTATTATGGGAAGATACAAAAAACAGGTAACAGGGCTGGAGAGGTGGCTCAGTAACTAAGAGCACGGGCTGCTCTTGCAGAGGACCTGGTTGCAATTCCCAACACCCACACTGTGGATAATAACCATCTCTAACTCCAGTTTCAGGGTATCTGATGCCCTCTTTTAACCTCCAAGGACATTGCGTGACATAGGTACACCTACCTACATTTCATACACATAAAATAAAATAATATTTTTTTTACCAAAACAGGAAAAATGTACTGATTTTATAGTATATTAAAAGGTACACTCTCTGTAGAAAACTAAAACAGATGAGAATTAAGTGGTGGAGATCAGCCGTGAAGAGTAATTTTAATCATGATGACTAGAGAGTAAGTTACAGAGAATGTGACCTGAGGAGATCACAGGCTTTTAATGTTTAAGCATGACATTCCTTTGAATGAAAGGCCATGTGGTAAAGTTTATAGGATACAGAAAAGGTATTCAATAAATTTAAGGAACAATGAGGAGGTCAGAGTCACTGAAGAACAAGAGAAATTTGGAAGAATTAAAGTGAAAGGGATTGTGATAGGCAGAAGGGTCCTTTTTGGTTTTACTTAAGAAACCAGACATGAAAGCAGTGGAAATTTCTGAGCAGAGTGACGTGACTTGATGTTTTCCTGAGGGATCATTGGTCCTGGGATGAACAGGAACTGCAGAAAGGTCCAAGTGCTAGTGTGAAAACGGGGAGAGGAAAGGGAGGGGCGTGTGGAGAAGCTGCCGCCGCCGTGATGGTCAAAACTGTTTTTGGGGAAATGAAAATCAAATACTAAAGCCACTGTCTCATGAAATGTCAGAATGTTGAATTTGAATTTCTCAACCAAAATGTTAGACTTTTCAATTTTTAAATATATAGAGAGGCTGGTGTTCTTGGGAGACATCCAAGGAAGAGTATATATAGATAGTAAAATATTTAAGTCTAAAATTCAGAAGAATGATCAAAACTAAAAACCAAACAAACTGGAGCTGTAAGAGGTTGGAAAATAGCTACCAGAATAGCAGTGTGTGAAGTTATAGTAAGGAGAAACCGCAGAGCTGTGAGGAAGCTGAGGTTGTTGTGATGTGAGGGTGGGTCAGCCAAGGAGACAGAAAAGACCAAGTTCAGCTACAAGGAAAAGTGTGTGCCTGGGTGTGTCATTCACAAAAGCCATGTTGGAGCTCAGGAACTAAATAGGTGACAAACTTTAATTCACCAAAACAGAGAAAGTCTAGAAGCCAAGGAGCGATGGAAGAGGGACTGTTTGCCAGAACTCTTGGGCACAAAGTGAGACAGCATACAACACTAAGAACACTTTCTCTGAGGTCTAAAAGCTAGAATAATGAAATGGCAGATAGCAGTTAGCAGGGTAGACAGCAAAGGTATTTTAACTATATGTGTACCTGTGTGGGTAGGTGAGTGAATCCCGCCTGTGGGGAAGCACGAGCAGGGCATGTGGTAGTTCACACTCTACCTTATTCCCTACAGGTTCTCTCACTGAGCCTGGAGCTGGCCTGATGGCCAGCAGGCCCGAGTGATCCTTTCTCCACTACCCAGAGGACTATGGTTACAGGAATATATGTTGTCAATCTGTCTGTTTTCATGGGAGCTACAAATTTGAACTCAGGTTGTCATTCTTGAGCAGCGAACCGATTTACCTGTTGAGCCATCTCCTAGCCCCTAGTTAAAATGATCTTAACTTTGTTTTCTCAATGAACTGAGAAGCAGAATTGACTTCTGAAATATGAGGAATGTAGGAATGGAAGGGTGGTAAAGGTTGAGAATTGCTGTGAGCATTGATGAAACACTCACTTTGGAATTTGTGAAGGGATTACTTTCTCATATTGAAGAAAATGCAGCTGACATTGAAAGTGTACCCACGAGAATGAAGTGTTCATGTGATTTTATTGCAATGTCCTAATATGCACTTATATTAAACTACAATTAAAGAACAATTCCTGGGAGACTCCCTTAGGAAAGACACAGACCACCCTTCCCACTACATATTAACCCCTGCATGAACATACAACCTAACTCATTCCGTCCTACAAAGGAGGTCCTGCCAAGAATTAAGGTAGACCTGGAACAACTTACATAATGGGTATGTTTTGTCAGCTTGCTAAGAGAACTCCAAAATTCTAATATAATTTGTCAGCCAGCAAGATGGCTCAATG